CAACATTTAAACTTCTCCGTGTGTACCAGTTACTAAAAGCTCCATGAACTGGTTTCAGTTGTCATACTCGAGCATACAAAGCTGTAAAAAAAACAAAGAAACAAAAACAAAACCCCTTTGCAATTCATTTTGGTCACTATATATAGGTAGTCCTCAACTTACAACAGTTCATTTAGTGAGCATTCAAAGTTACAATGGGACTGAAAAAAGTGACATGACTTTTTTTCACACTTATGTAGCATCCCCATGGTCACCTGATCAAACTTCAGATGCTTAGCAACTGACTCATATTTCGGATGGTTGCAGTGTCCCAGGTTCATTGCAACCTTCTGACAAGCAAAATCAATGGGGATGCCAGATTCACTTAACAAGCGTGTTACTAACTTAACAACTGCAGTGATTCACTTAGGAAATGTGGCAAGAAAAGTAGTAAAATGGGGCAAAACTCACTTAACAACTCTCTTGCTTAGCAACAGGAATTTTAGGTCAATTGTAGTTGCAAATAGAGAACTATCTGTAATGAGAAAATTGGGTGCCTTATTTATTTTATTGATTTATGTGGCTACTCATCTCCCTTATTTGCCGTTGCCATTTACAATGGCAAATAAAAATACATATAATACAAAAAACAAAACATACAGTAGCTGGGAATCATAAAAAAAAGACCACCTTTAACATATCTGGGGTCCCGGTTCAGGCCCAAACCAAGTTTTTAAGGCCTTACAGAAGGCCAAGAGGAATGAGGTCAATCTAATCTCAGGGGGGATAATGTTTCAAAGGGCAGGACCCATGGCAGAAAAAGCTTTCCTTCTGGGCTCTGCCAGCCAACACTCCTTATCTGATGGCACACGATAACCACCATCACTGCTTGTCACTTTAATGTTAGCCAACAAATAAGAAAGAGGTTTTTTTAAAATGCTTTTGGGGTTGTTTCTTTTTTTTTTTCTAGCTTATTTTATCCTGCTCTTAACTGCAGAAATGAACAGCTGAGCCAGAAAAAAAAAAGGAAGCTGAAAAGCCAAAAGCCTATTTCCTTCCATTCTGGTTGATGAAATAAAACAGAAGGATGCCAGGAAGGTCAGCTTGTGTCTTTCCAATATGTAGAGTCAACTACTATTGTTGTTTGCAATAGTACTTTGCAAAAGCAGAGGCTCGCAGGAAGATTCTTATATTAGCTAGTAGGGGGAAACACTCATGCCCTTCTTGTCCAAATGTATCCCCTAATTTTCTGTTACCTAATTACCTTGATTGTTTACAGAGCTCCACTAATAAGCAGCTGCCATTCTTCTGTGTTTCTGTTCATTATTTTTGGCCTCTTGCATGAAATCTGTGGCAACAGGTGCTTGTGCACATTAATAGTCTTTGTGCAAGGGTTAGGCTGCAAATGTGACAAATGGCATGTCTGACTGAAACAGGTTCATTTTTTTTTTGAACCACTAATAATCAGATTGGCCCAGACTCAACAGACACAAAGCACTGCAATTCTGGAGGATTCATCGGATTTTTGCATCTCCATTCAGTGACTGGGGGAAGACTTGTATTTCACAAAAGGAAAGCTTCAAGAGTTCAATTTGCCTTTTATCTTTTATAGTTTCTGCTTTCTAGTTCTGTGCTGTCATAGTCTACTTTTTCTGTGCCTGTTCTGCTGGGTGTCTTGATTCTTGATTCTTCTCCTCTCCTTCCAAGTCTCTGCCCTTTCTGGGGGAAACAACAGGAGTAACTTTTCCTTCACACCAGTTCTGAGGGAAGGAAAGAAATGCCTTTCTTTCTTTCTTTCTTTCTTTCTTTCTTTCTTTCTTTCTTTCTTTCTTTCTTTCTTTCTTTCTTTCTTTTCTTTCTTTCTTTTCTTTCTTTTTCTCTCTCTCTCTCTCTCTCCCTCCCTCCCCCCCCTTTCCTTGGCTGCTGCCTCTTTCTCATCAGGCCTGCTATCTTTCAGTTTGCCTCTTTAATTGACTCCTGGGCTCTGGCTCTGTTGATTCAGCTTCTTCTTCATGAGGCCTATGGCGGAAAAATTCCCAGACAGCCATCTTGTCTTCCTCCTCCTCTCCCCTGCCTCCTCCCTGATTGGCAGCCCGTTGTCATGACGACGGGGGGAGGGTGGGCCACAGTGGGAGGGGGAGGAAGGAAGGAGCAGAGGGGCTTTTAATCTCTTCAGGCAGTCCGTCCTTCCACACGATTGATTACTAAATCTATTTTACAGTAAGTTATAGCCCACAGAATGGAGCAGAAGATTTGTCATGAGATAGCGCTTGAATTAGGCATTGGTGCTGCTTGGTTTTTTTTTTTTTACCTTGACACTGCTTTGAATGTTCAACTGGAGCCCTGAAAAATCCTTGAGGAGCATCTCTGGCTATCTCTATTTTTTTCCCTTCCTTGGCAATAAACACAAGAAATAATTATTACTCCTGTCCTCAGGGAAAGAGCCTGAAATATTCTTTGTTGTGTCCTGCAGAGGGGGGAAGCAAGGAAACCCTGGGAAGTCCATTCCAAAAAGTGGCAGACTCAGCACAATGGGACGAGTGCAGTCTGGATGAAAATTTAATGAATGATATTTAATATGATTATATGGATAACTCATCTGTGTCTCCCCTCTGACAATTTTGAAAGGGACTATTGAAACTAAGAATGGGGTGGGACCATCTAACCTATCATTTCTTAAATATGGGGATGATGGTACTGACCAACCAGCTAGCAAAAGGATGTTATTTAGTTTATTTCAACTTTTCATGTCTTAATGGACACCATTTAATCAGGATCGTTGATCAATAATTGCCTCTTTGAATTCTTGTAAGATAAGGGTTATAAAGCTTAAAACAGTGAGCATCAAATGCAGGAGGTACAATTATTTTTATAATGTTAGCATCCATCTTGAAGCAAACAAGATATTATGGAGAGAGAGGAACTAATGGTAGCATTTTGTTGGAGAAAGCACATATTGTATGTCAGTATGTAGTATAACACAGCGCAGGGCAGTTACACAATTAGGGCAAAAGTAAACCATCTGATTTAAGAAGCACAAAATACAGTCAGGCATTCAGCTCTACAACTGGTAATCAGCAGTATGCTAAACATAAAGATGTCTGCTTATATATTGCTGCAAATAACTTGTTATTTCTTTAAAGAAAAAGTTCTATACCAGAATATTGATTCGAGAAACGTTTAAGGAATCTTAATTCAGCTGCTGCAGAAAGCATTTTATTTAACTGTAAGGTAAAATAATTATCCCCTCAATTTTTTCTGTCTTAAAACAGTTTTCTTCAGGTCAGGTCCATTTGCTACAGTCTGGCTTATACACGTATTTGTGATGGTCAAAAAGATTCTGAACATAATAGCAATTGCACAGATTTAAAAAGAACCAACCATCTGCCCAGGGAAAAAACTTGGAGCTGATTTTGGAATCACTAAAAGCAGTAAACAGTGCTGTGTTATGAAAATTGTGTAAAAAAATTCCTATGATCACTGCTATCCTAAGGCATATATGCAAACATATCCTTTGTTTTGTAATCAATGCAAATCCATCCCTTCCAGATTAATAGTTTCACGTGGTGCCATTTTTAGAATATTATGATTTTTCAGCTTTGTATTTTCAGTTATCATTTATTTTTTTATGTATTCTGCTTTTAATACTTAAACTCTGTCAGCTGCCTAGAGCTGGTTGGTTTCAGGTGCTCTGATAAAATTTATAAATAAATAAATAAATCTTATCTCTTACAGCTCTTATACGTGTGACTATAACAGTTATATGAATATTATTTCTTGCCGGCAGACATGTTCCAATGTACTTTGCTTGGACCCTTATTTGCACATTTTGGGCTTGATTAACTAGAGTTGGTTAGTCAATATGAACACCAGCTTCCCAGTGAAAAAATATTGCTGCTTTTATCTGTAGATCAGACATAAGCAATCTGGTAACTTTCTAATAGTTCAAGCCAGCAGAAGCTACTGATGAAGAGATTTAATAGGTTCCTCAATTTTTTGGTAGTCACATTTAAAATTCAAGAATGACATTCTTTCAAACCAGCTTTTTTGATCACCGTGACCGTGAGCTTTCTCCCTATTAACCTTCTAGACACCAAGGATGCTCTGTACTATTTTACTTTATTATTATTTTTTTCTGAACACTTAGCACGAAGATCCAGGCACCCATCATTTTATTCTCAAACTCTGGAATGTAAATAGGATTCACTATAGCCTGTGAAATAAAAATTATGCTTAACAGTGTATCTACATAGTAGCTGCTCATTTTCACACACATTCACACAACATATATTAATAGCCTTGTGGATGCTAAGGCCACACTAAGACCAGTAGTAGGTGTTCCAGTACCACTTAGAAATGAAGTAATGTGAATCTACTGCAATTCACTTGAGTAATCTCTTCCAAGGTCATCTCCTAAGCATGCTTCTAAATTAATTTAGAGTCAGCCATGTGCATTCAAAACTGCTTCATTAAAAATGGAAAATTTATACTGGATGAAAATGCATGAGAGTCTCCTGATGCTCTGCAATACATTTGGGCCACAATATAGGCATTGCCTAAATTTTATTCTAAAATTTGAATTAAAAAAACACAAAGCATGCATGCTTTAAAAATGTAATAGTTATCAACCATACATTTACAAGAATAAGAGTTTAGTTATTTGGCTCTTATTTAAGTTATATTTAATGTATGTGAAAGATCTAGAGAAACATGGGAGAAAAGGGCCATGTCTGTTTCCAAAGGAAAATTAGATACGACTTTAACTAGAGAATAGGAGCTAAGTTCATGGCTCATTGGCTTCTTTTAAACTATTTAAGTATGGGACATGTGCGTGTGTCTGTGTTGTACAATATACTATTGAAGCAATAACACAATATTATATTGTTTTAGTTACACCATAAGGATTTACAACTAAAAATGTTATAGTTTGACATCTAGTCACAATCAGGCTACAAAAATCAGGCTGTAAAAATACAATAAAGAGTAATGAGATTTTAGAAGTGATGGCTAAAAAGCATGTGTCACCACAGAAGTGGGATTAATACATTTCCATGCACAAATGGTACAGTACCTTGTTTGTTGCTCTTCATTAAATCTACCAACATTTCCCCTCCAGTTCCAAAATCATTTGTTTCATGCTCTAGCTCCATTTCGGTATCACTGCTACTGCTAGCAGAGTAAGTGCACACTCTCAGTGCCCTGTCCTGTACAAAACAACATATAATTCCTTGACTCAAAACAGAAAACATTTCAGTGAAAGCAGTGGGTCTGGAGTGCAGGCAAAAAGGTGAGCCCCCTTTTTTAATCTCTTTCACAATTTATTTAACTGCTGCCATTTGCTACCGATTATGTCATTAAATGTCACAATCCCTGAACTTTCTCCCAGCACAACCTAAGTATTAAAACCAGTTTGCACACAATCCAGCTAGAGAATCCATCTTGCTTTAATGTTATAACAAAAGCATTTGAAATGTAAAAAGGATCCATGAAGAGTTAGTGGCAACTCAGGAATTCAGAGTCGGTCATTTACCTGTTGTTGTCTCTGGGGTATGAAGTAGTCACCCAACAAGTCTCTGAACTGACAGAAATGGAAGCAAACAAATACTTGGGGAATATTTTGAGGGCTGGAGATTCCCTATATTATAATTTTATTGGTTGGGATTTGTACTTTTATTGTTTTAGAGATATTTATTTCTTAGGATTATAAGTTTTAATGCTGTAAGCCGCACAGAGTCATTTTGTTACAAGATAGGTGACAAATAAATTCAATAAATACATAAATAAAATATTAAAGAAACATAAAATTGTAGGAACCTTAGGTATCATCTAGTACAGTATAAGGTCCCCAACCTTTTCGGCTTGGGGGGCCTGGTGTGTGTGGGGGAGGGGATGGTTATGTGTGAGTGGTAGACGTTCGCGCAAGCATGAACAGCTCCATTTGCAGACGCATGCGCTCACCCACTGCTTGTGAGGCCCGGTTCTCAACGGGCTGAGATCCACTAGTGGGCCGTGGCCTGGGGTTTGGGACCCCTGATCTAGTACAGTCCCTATCCAGCGCAGGAATCCAATTCTACAGTGTATTCCTATAAAACAAAGTGTACTGTATTGCAGTGGGGAACCTGAATCAATACCATCCCCCAGTGGTACAATCTTCTGTTAGCATTATTGTTTTTATTTGGTTTGTGCTTATATCTAAGCATAGTACTATACTGAGTTTTCCTCATAACAATCACTGCTGAGATTGATGGAGCTGAGAAAAGAGTGATTGGCTCGGAGTCATCTAGAGGGCTTCCCCACAAAAAGTGATTGAAGTTGTAGTGATTAAGGTGCTGGCTTAGAAATCAGGAGATGGTGAATACTAATCCTGCCTTAGGTATGAAAATTGTCTGGATGACTTGGCCAATCACTCTCAGCCCACCCATCTCACAGGATTGTTGTTATGAGGAAAATAAAAGGAGGAAGGAGTATTAAATACATTCATCGCCTTGAGTTACTTATAAAAATAATACAGGCGAGATAAAAATCTAATAAAACTTAGGACTTCCCACTCAAATCCAATAATTCAGACTATTATCTTAAAGGACTTTAGATTTATTCTAATTCTTTATTTGGCACAATGCAAATAATTGTATGATTTTAATTTTTCAGTATAGTTTTTTAAAAAAAAATGATGCAAGGTAGGCATGTAGTATCTTCTTGATGTGTTTCTTCTCCTTTTTCCAAAGGAAATTCTGAGTTTGATCACAGAAATGCAATGGGCTTTTCTTTTACTCTTTCACACAGTCCAAGTTTTCAAGAGAAATCAACCCAGATATTTTTCTCTTGGAGAAGAAAATATAACTGCTTCATATATCCTTTGCACTTCAAAAAAGGAAAGTAGCTTTGGATGAAGGGAACTTTGATTAGGAAAAAAGTTATAGCAAAGAATTTAAACATTCCTACGTTCACTGCCTCTTTTATCAAATTCAAGGCTGCTAACACTTGCAGTAAAGAAATAACAACAGCACAAAATATTCTATGTATTTTTCACATTAAACTTTGGCCTTCAAATTCTCTTGCAATTGACCTCAGTTTCCTGGAACATAGTAAGAGGCAGAATATGATCACTTTTTAAAAAAGAGATAGTATGAAACTACATAAGCACGTACAAAAAAGAAAATGAAATGAATCTCTACTGTATAATGTTTGGGGATAACAAAGGCTTAATATCTTAAGTTGATAGATTACTTGACATCACGTCACAAATTCTTCCCCTGTAAATTAACTGCAATCAATAATAAAAATTAGTTGTAAATATTGTAAATGAAAGGGGAAAGCACATATAACATATTAATACTAATGAATATGCATGATATATTACTGAACTGAATTTTAGTTTAATGCAAGTTTACTTTTGGTAAACCTACTGCTACACAAAATATTCAGCAATAATGTTATTTTACCATTCTTATCTCTGTTAAACAGCTAACATCTTGTATGGAAATGATGAGAGGCTAGTGGATTTGGTCTAAAAACAGAGTTAAGGTATTTCCTTGCCATGAACCTTATTGGGTGTTTGACTTTAAGCCCATCTTGCCTATTGCTCTATACTAAATAGCAATAGTTATTCAGGATTTTAGATAAGAATTTTTTCCAATATAGCATGGAGAAGCCAGAGCTGAACCTGGGACATTCAGAATACCATCCATCAATCCATCAACTCTAATAATGTGTTATAATCAAATTACCATCACAGAGTTTGGGAGGATGAAGTGGGGTAATAACTTAAGAGATGGACAGAATATAAATTTGAGAAATAAATAAACTTTGAGAAATAAGCCAAATACTTTCAAAATATTTTACATTTATACCTTGGCTTTGATAACATTCTTGCTGCTCCAGTCTGGAAACATCTTTACGTTGCTGTTTTTTTCTTTCTCTGAATCATCTAATGATGCCGAAGCCAAACAACTCGATTCTTGACTGTTTTTCCCCACGGGACCTGTTACTCCTGGATAACAAAAAGAAATGGAGCATAGCATCTTGGATTATGTTTGCATGTAAGGATCAGATTCATTCATGAATTGACTGATTACACTATGGTCATGGGAAAAAGAGAGGAGAGTGGCTTGCAAAATGTTACAAATGCAGAATATCCGCACATTCTTCTTTATCAGGAAAAGATGTACAGTAGTCATCTCTGCCAGAAGACATTTAGCAATAAATTGGGTGTTAAAGTAAATGCAACAAATTGCCAACATTTTTATAAACTAAACCTCTTCCTTTTCAATAAATTTGTGGAAAGAAGACTGTGTGGGAATCTTGCTTCTTTATTGTAAGCTGCTGCTAAGGGCTTGATAGCTCCATTTCTACAAAATGGAGGAAGAAGTAGACAAAGCTAACTCGATATAAATCCTGCAAGCCAAATCACTTAATATCATGGAATATACTTCTTACATATAGTTACATTACCAAAAAGGCATAATACTCAGCCATCCTTATTGTTAGGGATGTGCAAGCAGAGCACATATAACCTCCAATTATAAATAAAATAAAATAAAATAAAATAAAATAATAAAACACATTGGCATTGAAATCACAACGATCTATGGGTCCTGACCATTTTTTTTAATGAAAAGTTTGAGGAAGGGAACCATCAGAGGTAGATTTTTCTAACTGAGAAGAAAAGGACAAAGCAATAGAAAAAAAATTCTCTCACCACAAGTGTTCTTAACCAAATAATTTACTCTTTTTCAATGAAACAACTTGTAGAACAAGAGCACATGTAAATCACAGTGCTTTGTAAGATTCACCGTATGCATGCATATGGGAGGGAAAAAGAGAGATTGGTGAGAAGATAACATTTGAAAGTGAGAATGTTGACCTCCCAATCTGCAGCATACCAGGTTGTTTTTTTGTTTTTTGCTTTTTTTAAAAAAAAACACATCTCTTCAAGACAATTTAATTAAGAAACAGACAGTAGAAGGCTGGTGCAGTGAATATTAGCATTAAGATCAGGACAATCTCAGTGCTACTGACTTCTTATGAAGCAATTCAGTGCTTGCAGTTTCTATTCAATTTGTTATAATGACAGTGTTTAATCATGGAGTCTTTTCTATAGCACGCTGCTGAACTGAGGTCACACATGTGGCTATTCAAGCATGTAGCATATAATCTATAACTAAGATTTCTGTCCTAAATCTCCTCTAGTTGTGCTATTAATTAACAATACACTTTTTTTAAAAAAAATAGTCTAACTTAAGAAACCTTTTCTTTAACTACAATCTGAAATGAGCAGGGGAGTTTCCAATGAAGGATTCAGCATGTATTTGCATTCTGTTGTAAGCAGTGCAAACCTGTATTAGGAATTTTACTAAATCAATTACATTCCAGCATGTTTAATTAGAAGGTGTCTCGTAAACTTTCAAGAATCTTTAATGTAGTTTATTTATTCATCTGTTCAATTTAAATATTGACACATTAGCAAAACATTCTTTGGGATTCTTGCAATAGATTTCTAATTCTCATTTGAACGTGGCAATCGGAGAAAAGGTCAGCTTTGCCAAACAATTGTGCAGTCTAAACATGTTAACATACTCTTTCTGTTTTAAACATTTTTTTCTTTTATGAAGTACACGGGATCATGATTCGAATACTTAAACAAATAACATTTAGCGCATGAGATTCACGTACTTCTGATGAACTTGAAAAGGGCAGCCTTTTATACTACTCAGTAAAATGTCTATGGAGACTCTCAGTCATCCAGGTCATGGTTGTCCCAAAGGTGCTTTTCAAAAGGCAACTGGACTTTCTTGGGGTTTTTTTCCCTCTTGAAAATGTTTTGTTTCTCATCCAAGAAGCTTCTTCAGTTCAACCTGAATTGAAGAAGCTTCTTAGATGAGAAGCAAAACATTTTCAAGGGGAAAAAAAACCCCAAGAATGTCCAGTTGCCTTTTGAAAAGCACCTTTGGGATTCTGAATAAAATGGTTAAGCTATTTCTAGATGTAGATGTATGAATGCTTCATATAACAATCATCATCATGAGGTACTTTCAAGAGCTGACACTGGCATTTGCACCTGGACTAAGACCCATATGGTCACATATGACATATCCACACATTACAAGCACACACACACACACAAGTATTTTAAAAGTAAAAGCTCTGCCACCTCTGGAAAAATCTTCAATTTGCTTTTGGCTACAGCAGGGGTGTCAAACGCGCAACATCACGTGATGTGTCGCGACGTATCGTGACTTTTTTTCCATTGCCGGCAATGGGGTGGGCGCGGTTTCACCATGACGCATCCGGCCCACAGGCTGGCAGTTTGACACCCCTGGGCTACAGCTTAAACGTGCCCTGACTTAGCTTTGACATTATCCACAAAGTATTTAAAGACATGGCATGGAAGAGTAAGCTGCTGGAACCTCTGCTCCCTTCTTTCTCTCCTATGTGTGCTTTTTCCCCAGCATCAGCCTAGCAGAATTGCCAGTAAAGCTGCAACCTTGACACAGGTGTGGTAGAAGACGTGTGCTTTGGAGCACTGTAGCCACCAGCAGAGTACAGCAACCAAATGAATGAAGGTGGCTTTCCCTCAGCAGGAGTGGATGCTCCAAAAGAGAGGGAAAGAAGTATAAAGGCTCAGCTAAATAAAGCACAACATGAAAAAAAAAGATGCAAGAACTCTACATTGTGGCCATTAACAGAAAAAGAAGAAATCTCGGAGAAAGAGGGGGGGGGACTTAAGACAGAACAGACTTAAGTAATAAATGTTGATGCGTATTAGCAATAATATAGTATATTGTATAGTATATTGAATAGTAATAATATAGATTATAATATGAACATTGTCAAATGTACTAATTGTCATACAATTATCATAGTGATAGTAAAGTGATAACAATAGAGTCAAATATAGGATCGCTTTCATGTGCTTGTTTTTACAAAACAGAACATCTCCCCAACCTTTATAGGGAGATAGAAAGAAACCAACTATCCAGGGCCCAGCATGTTTGTGTCTCTCTTGAATCTGGGTCAGTCTAACTGGGTAGAGTTTGAAAAAGAACCCCTAACACATGCTATGTCTTCTTTATAAGACAGTAGATTACCATTTAGCATCATAACCTCTCCATTTCACTGGGATCAGGGGTTTGCAAAACATCTACAGCAGGGGTGTCAAACTCAATTTCATTGAGGGCCGCATCAGCATTGTGGTTGCCCTTGGGGGGCCAGGTGGATGCGGCCTACTGGGTGGGTGTGGATGGGGTGGGTGTGGCCTACTGGGTGGGCATGGCCAGCTCTACGTCGTTCGTGTCAAGGGGGCCTGTGGGGGCCTGGGCAAGAGTGGGACAGATCTGAGGCCCTCTGGCAGAAGGGGGTGGGACCGGGGCAAGCGCCAAGGCATGGTCCATTTCTTCATTCCTCACAAAGGGTGACACCTCCCCAGCATGCATCCAGGGGGCGGGGCCAACACAGCAGGGGCTGGTTCCTTGCTGTTTCTAGACGGCCTTGTGGAGCTAAGACTGAATGCGTTTCAGCATAGATGGCCACCACAAAATTGTACATTGGCTCCCAGCTGGCCTGGGCCAGGGCCAAGGCAGCGGGGGCCGTTCCCTCGCTGTTTCCAGGATGGCTTCGCGGGCCACATGAAACCACTTCGCGGGCCTTGTGTTTGACATGTCTGATCTACAGTAATGCGAGGTGTCTTTTCAGCTGCATATTTCACCCGTTTTTACACAACGTTATCACTGGGAGGTCTCTGCTAACGAGAACTGACAGGTGGACACAGAGCATCTCATTTGGAAAAACAGAAGCTGTCATTTTACCTGAAGAAGCTGCTTTCGGAAGATGACTCTGCAAAGCCCGCACGCCTCTATCAGCCATTGTAGGATCTGATGCTGAATGAGAAATTACACTCTCGACAGATCCCGGGCTTTTATTAGTTGTTGAAGGCACTTCTCGTTCTAGGGTTTGGGCTTTCTCAGATGGAGTCTGAGGAAAAGGTTGCTCGGGTGAGGTGAAATCTTCGTTTTCTAAATCCAGTCCTTGTTTAGAAACGTGTCGGCCCGTTGAACGGTTTCCTGAGTCTGGAAGAGGAAAGGTTCCTATTCCACTGTCCAATGTCCTCATTTGGCAGCAAGATTCTGAAACGTAAAAAAGACAGGCTACTTTCAGTGGAAAAGACAAAGAACAACAACAAGAGGGCACCTTGAAGCAAGGGCTTCAGCGTAAAGGGAAGGGCTACGGCTCATAGGCTTCGTACATACATCCCTAGCTGAGAGAAGGCCTTGAAAACTGAGAAAAATCACTGCAAGTCAAAGCAAACAGTATTGATCTATTTATTTATTATTTATTTATAAGATTTATAAAGCTGCCTGAATCCTTAACATCCTTGGGAGGGTTTAAACCACGGGTAGTCAACCTTGGCTCTTTTATGACTCGTGGACTTCAATTCCCAGAATTCCTGAGCCAGCTTAGCTTAGAAGCACGAAGCTGAAGACACCAGCCTGAAGATGACGAATGTGATTTCGTCGAAACGTCGCCAAGGTACTTTTAATTCTACGCGGGAGAAAACCCGAATAACTAAAGACCTACATACAAACACCCGCGAAAACCTCAGAAAACATACATATATATATATATATATATTTTCTGAGGTTTTCGCGGGTGTTTGTATGTAGGTCTTTAGTTATTCGGGTTAGTTATTCAAACTAACCTGAGCACAACAAAGCCCCCACCCAAACAGAACACTCCCCCAGCCAATCAGAGCACAGCGAACCCCCCAGCCAATCAGAGCACAGCGAACCCCCCAACCAATCAGAGCACAGCCAGGCTCCTTAACCAATCAGAACACACCTCCACCCAATCAGAACACAGCCAAGCTCCCACCCAATCAGCTCCAACCCCACTGGCAGTTAAAAGGAAGAAACAGCTGCGATCACACACCACTCTTAGAAGCACGAAGCTGAAGACACCAGCCTGAAGATGACGAATGTGACTTCGTCGAAACGTCGCCAAGGTACTTTTAATTCTATGCGGGAGAAAACCCGAATAACTAAAGACCTACATACATACATACATACATACATACATACATATATATATATGTTTTGAGAATATATATATATTCTCAAAGAAACCCATCATCCACTTTAACCCAAGGCCTGGGGAACCAAGCCAAACTTCTGACAATCTTTTCAATGAAAGCAGGGAAGAAGCCATGGGGAATCCCTAGAGAAATGCCATTCCAGAGGATTGGCAGAGCATAGACAAAGGTGGGTCTCATCAGATCACTTTGTCTGAGCAATGGGATCTGCAGTAGTCCAGGTCTGTCTGAAACTGCTGGAGAAAGGCAGCCCCTCAGAGAGCCAGGCCCTACTTTGTGGACCAGTCCTTGAATTGCATCTTCAACTTAACTGACAATTAGAGCAGCTCACACGTTGCTAAGCAAAGGTGAGCCTATTAGTGCCTGTGGCCACTGCATTCTGAACCAGCTGAAGTTTCCAAATGATTTCAAAGAGCAGCGGCATCTAGAGCCCATTGCAATCATCCCTATAAAAGTGATTAAGGCATGAGTGACTGTTTGGATAGCCTCTTGATTTAAGAATGGACATAACTGACACACAAGGTGAATATATGTGAAGGCCTTCCTAGCAACAGCTGCCACCTGATTTTTTTAAAAAGGAGCTGTGAATCTTGGAAAAACCTCAGATTGTGTTCCAGTCCTAAATGGAAAAGTGCCACCCCATCCAGCACTAAACAATGAGATTCTCCAGGGCCAGATGGCCCAAATCACAACAGCTCAGTCTTGACAGAGTTGAGTGTGAGTCTGCTTCTCCTCAATAGCTCCCTCAGAGCTTGCAAGCATCCCTCAGTTGACCTCAGTTGATAGCATGCTGATAGCACTTTATTCCAAATTTGGGTAAGCAAGCAAGCAAGGAATCAGAAAATGATCTAAGTAGGACAAAGCATTGATAGCAATATCCTTCAAGGTCAGATCACAAAAAACTGTATCTAAAGGTATATATAATGTCCTCAAAGATTTGGATCAGGGTTATGGTGGCCAAGAACAGAAATGGCCCAAACTCTGAGTCACCCTGGGCCATTCCACAGCCTCTATTGAACTATTTTTTCCTCAATAATCTTAGTATGAAACCTACTCAAATAGTGTGGATAGTACAACACAATTAAGACCAAAGCAAAACAAAATATCTGTTCTGTAGCTATCAGCTCTGTTCATTACCTAATAATACCGCTAATCCAAATTCAAATAGAAGCATTTTTGGGGGAAAAAATTGAAGTACAGAGCTTATGCAAATCAGATGTTCTACTTTACTGCATCTACATAAAAAATCGAGGTAAGGCATTTATTTATTTATTTATTTATTTATTTTTTGGATTTATATCCCGCCCTTCTCCCGTAGGACTCAGGGCGGCTGACAATCTATTTAAAATACATACAAAACAATACAAATTTAAAATTAATTAAAAGGAATAAAATTAATTAAAAGGCATGGCGTACTGGCTACTGCAAGACATGAATGGGAGTCCCACCTTAGATAATTTATGTCCCTTTAGCACAGACATGTCAAACTCAAACTCCGCATGGCCTGAGAGAGATGGTGAGGCTCCTCTGGTGGACGAGGCTTTGGTGCTCGCCCTGGTCTCGCCTTCGTCCACTGGAGACCTCCGGATCCCCTCTCTCAGCCTTGCCTGCCCCCCCCCACAGGAGGCACAGGATGAAGCTGCTGTGTGTGGAAGTGCAGAGGAGAAAGTTTGCAGGAAGCAATTTCCTCCGAGTCCAACTTGTGAGGGAAGGCTGCCCCAATAAGCTAGCATCCTTACCATTCACAACTGGAAACGGAGATTCCCTTTTGAGAAGGGCCAGCCTCCCTTGTGCAGGATCGGGGAGCACTGCTCCCCTGCTTCTTCCTCTTGCTCTCCAGAGATCTGTCAAGGTAGAAGTTGGACTTGGAGGATACTGCTGCTGCCTGCAAACTTTCTCCTCTGAGCTTTCACATGCAGCAGCGTCGTCCTCTGCCTCCTGTTTTGATGGGAGGGGGCACCAGACAGGGAAATGCCAATGATATCTGGGATTGGAAGAAGAATGTCTCCTTTGGCATGCTGTGCACAAACACAAACACACAAACACACACACACACACACACACACCATTCCAAGCCTGGAGACTTTTTATCCACATCTGAGCTTGCAAACTGTCAATCAGGCCTGGGCTCTCCTTCCTCTGTGGATAAAAGTCCCCAAAGTTGGAATGCGGTGTGTGTGTCTATGTGTGCATGCACATGCGCGCACTTGGCTGCTAGCAGTTTGGGGAGGCGAGGAGCTTGTGGGGCACCGAATTGTCCCCATGTCAAGGTAGCTGGTGCAACTTGTTCCATACCAACCCAGCCATCCCAAGTCAGCCGCACCCAGTGAGCAGCATCAAGCCGGCCATACCCACCTAGTCATGGCGACCTGGCTGTGACCACCAAGCCACGCCCAGCCTGCCACGCCCACTGGCCCCTGTGAGTCGTCATAGTCTCACATGCTACTGGCCCTTGGAGGGCAACCATAATGTTGATGCAGCCCTCAATGAAATTGAGTTTGACACCCTGCTTTAGCAGTATGGTGAAACCTATGGACCCCAATTATGCTGAAAAAGTTTTCCAACTGTTTTAAAATAACAAATATGTAGTATAATAATATAAGCAAACATAAAGTTGTTTTATGCTTTACTTTATCAAGTTTTATTATGTTCCCGTCCAAATTTCCCCCCCCCCTCAAAATCTATCCATGTACACCTAAGGGTTCATGGAGCCCAGGTTAGAAATCCCCGCACTTTAAGCTATATGGATTCTATAAATTAGGTTGCATATTTTTTTTGTAATTACACATTTGCATCTGGTAGAGATTTTTTAAAAAATATTAATGAGAAAAAAACATACACATTTAGCCAGAATTAATAATCACAACAAATTAATCAAAACTGTTGCATGCTTTGGCCTATGGAAGTAAGACAGATCCAAGGCCTTTTATAAAGGTCCAATTTGTAATCTTCTTAAGTATGCAGTACATTTCAATTTACTCTGAAATTTTATTTTAATGTTTAATTTTATTTATTAAATTTATTTGCCGCACATCTCACTGTGGGGCTACTCTGGACGGCTTACAACAGTAAATGGAAAAAAATGATAAAAATGAGAACATACCATTAGTAAAGCAATGAAACAATAAAAATAAGCAATGAAAGTATGATATGAATTAAAAGATGGCTTGTGAGGAATGCTATAGTATATGGTCCTCAAAGAATCACAAAACAAGTAAAATGTTATAGGTATTATCTTTTATTTTTCCTAAGGGACTTTCATAATAGCATTTGCTATTACAGTTATAACTCCACATGCTGCTTAGAATAACTTTACTCTAAACAAGACAGGGTTAGGCTCTTATCTTTAGAGAAGAAATTCAAAAGCTATCATATAAAGTTATTTTTAACCAGTCCAGTAGTTATCTGGAAATACATCAATCTGGGGTATTTGAGATTTGAGCAAAGACTGTACTCTTCTCACAAAATAAAACTCAAAGCATCCCAATTATTTTAGACTCACTAAGTTACTCACAGAATTGTAAAATTGGCTTAGGAGATTCCATGAATGAAAGATTGCACAGAATACATCTTAAACCAAACATGGACCTATATGACTAGTTTATTTCAGGCCATCAAATACATGTCATTCTAGAGACAGATATAAAGAAATAAAAAAGGTATCCGTGCATTCTGAACACTGTATGCACATAGAAATAGATGGAATTTGTTTGAATAAGGACAAACAATGGTAAGATTAGGAAAGTATTGGCCTATCACCCATACATGGCAATTAACCATCACAATTTCAGCACCACGGACAGCCCCTATCTAACCTTCAAAGAGTGTAAAACAGTTGTTGGAACCTGAATATTTTGCAGTATTTTAAGCCAGACTCAACAGTGTAAAAGGATGGATGAATATCCAAGTGCAACATTATAAGCACCAAACAACAGTCTCTCTGAAAGTATAAATAAGGAATATTTTTAGGAATAAGTTTAAATTTTAATTCCCAAAAGGCAGTGAATATTATTACTATTAGTATTATTGTTAGTAATA